AGGAACACCTAGTAGGTAGTAGGTAGGTAGTAGGTACATTGGTACATTTTCTTCCTTTTTTTTGGCGGGGCTGGGGGATGGCGCAGGATGGGCTTCCTGCTTTCATCTCTCAAATGTTGTGTGCTATCACCATTTCTCTTATTTTTTAAAATCCAGAATTTTCAGTTATAAGTTGAATTTTATTGCTGATAAAAAAAAAAGTCTTCCACTTGTAGCTGTTAGCCTCAAAATAACAGGCATATTGATCTTTTTTTTTTTTTTAAACTCAGGGAATTGCTAGGAAAGTGCTGTACCATGAACCTGCATCCCAATCTTGTTTCTTTTAGATTAAATATCTGCTAAATAATCCAGTCTGCATGAATAGAACATGCTTAATCATTATTTCCAGTAAAAACTGTGTTCCATGAATAAAGTGGCTTTTAGTTCACAACTCAATTGCACAAATGCTTTATCTTAGATTTTGTCTAAGTACCACTTTGTCATTTAACTACAGAGAACAATAAGGCAGATGTCTGTGAGTTCCAGACCAGCCTGGTCTACAGAGTGAGTTTCAGGGCTGTCAAAGACAGAGAAACCCAGTCCCCCCCCCCCCCAAAAAAAAAGAGGAAAACAATGAGCAGGAGCAACACTGGGTGTGTGTGGGTGGTGGTGCATGCTTTTAATCCTTGAATTCAGGAGCCAGAGAAAGGTGGATCTCTGAGAGTTTGAGGCCATCCTAGTCCACAGATCAAGTTCTAGTACAGCCAAGGCTGCACAGAGAAACCCTGTCTTGAAAAAAAACAAAAAAATATCCAAGGCCAGTGTCAAATCACATGTCTAAAATACCCATAATTGGGAAGCTGATGCAGGATTAAGAATTGGAGGTCAGTTTGCATGACCCTTCCTCAAACAAAAACACGAATACAGCAAGGCATATCGTGAACATTCACTTACTTTTTTATTCATTTATGTGTGTTATGTGTGTAAGTCAGAGACAAATAAGAATAGTTCTTTCCTACCATGTGTGTTCTGGGGTTGGAACTCAATTGTCAGGCTCAGCACTCACAGGTACACCCTAACCTACTTTTCTTTCCCTAAATACTTAAGTTTGTTTCTCAAGGATGGCTACCATTGTTCAGTTGCTTACATAATTTTCCAGTACTACTTAACAATTCACAAAACACTACATATGCAAATGTAATCTTTCCTGCCATATAAATAGTGATATATTAATATGAACTGTATTGAGTAGTGTTTGCTACAGCTTGGGCATGAAGTATCTCTCTGAAAACATTCATGTTTAGAAGACTTGGTCCCCATTTAGTGGATCCAATCATTGAGTGGCAGTTGGATAATAAGGGCTCTGAACTAACAATATATTGATCCAATTGATGGATTGGCATTTAAAGGCATTATTGAGGAATTGATACTTTTTTGGGGGGTGGTTTTTCCAGAGAGGGTTTCTCTGTGTAACAGCTCTGGCTGTTCTGGGACTAACTCTGTAGATCAGGCTGGCTGACCTGGAACTCACAGACATCTGCCTGCCTCTTCCTGAGTGTTGGGATTAAATAAGAACACCACCACTACCTGGGTGATAAACATTTTTTAAGACGATCCTAAAGGAAGTAGTTTATTGGGGCAGATCTAGGGATTGGTGAGATGGTTCAGTGGGTAGTTGCTTGTTGTAGAAATATCAAATATGAGTCTTTTTTTTTATATCAAATACCATCCAACTTGTGTTTACAACAAGGAGTTCAAGTGTTTTTATCCTCTCTCCCACCTAGTAAGACTTTATGCAAATGTCTTAATTCCTCCTTTGTTTATACAAGGTACAAGGACTGAAGTATTCCAGGAATTTGATGGCCTACATCGTTATCTCTTTCCCTTTCCTTCACTTCCTGTGCACCAATTCCTTTTATACCAAGTATATTATCACTGGGTGTTAGAATGAACCAAATGCACTTCCTGTCTCTGTGTGTTCTTGCTTCTAAGCACACCTTACTGGTCAAAAGTTTCCTTGACCAGAGACTTCAGTGATAAGGGTGGGCTCCTTTTTCAAAACCCTAAATTTATTTCTAACACCACCAACCTGATGAACTGAACTCAATCCCTGGACCCAAATGGTAAAAGACCTGCCTCCCCAAATTGTCTCAGTGACCTTCACACATTTGCCATGACTTACACACACACACACACACACACACACCCCTACCTAAGTTCTTTCTTTTGTACTAATTTTTTTCCAGGGTTAGTGTACCCTAGGCTGTTTGGGAACTCTGTAGACCAGGCTGGTCTTGATCTCAGAGATGCACATATATCTCTGCTTCCTTAGTGTTTGGGATTTCTTTATTGTGCATACAGTATTCTGTCTGCATGTCTGCCTGCACACTAGAAGAGGGCACCAGATCTCATGATAGATGGCTGTGAGCCACCATGTGGTTGCTTCTCTTCCTCAGGACCTGAGGAAGAGAAGCCAGTGCTCTTAACCTCTGAGCCAACTCTCCTGCCTGAGTGAAGGTCTTGATATTACTGGGATCACCCTTTGGGATCTTCTAGTCTCATTAAAAAAAGAGCTTAAGGATGGACTCAAATGAAAACAAGGATAATTAAAAAAAAAAAAAAAAAAGGCGTGTCTTTAATCCTAGCATTTAGGAGGCAGAAGCAGGTGGATCTTTTCTGAGGTCAGCCTGGTCTGCCACTGAGATCCAGGCCTGCCAAAGCTACAGTGAGACCTTTTTTCAAGAACAAACAAAAACAAAATGAAAATAAAATCCCCAAGCCAGGTGAGCTCTAAATTTCAGCAGCTAGCTGAAGAAGATTGGCTGGGGGGGGGGCATTTAAGGTGACAAGGATGTCAGGCACATGGAAAATCAGCAGCTACACAGTGGGAAGCTTTATAGAAATAAGGGAGCCCAAAATGTTGGGGGTGGGGGAGAGCCCAAGTATTAAAGCATGCTTAGCAGACTGAAGAAAAGTAAAAATTAACTTTTCTGAGTAACTGGGAAGAGTGGGCAGCCCTACAATCTTCCAAAGCTCAGCTCCTGGCACAGAAGCTGAAGGAAAAGTACAACATTTCATTACTGAACTAATCACACTGCCTATCTCTTTAGCATGGCAGAACGTGGTTCCTTAGCCAAAGAGACTGAACTAGTCCAGCTGGAATGTTGGGTCTACACCCAGACCAGAGATTCCATTTTTCTTGACCAGAGTTATAGGCTGTCCTATAGCTCCTGGCCCTAGCTTCCCAAGTAGTTGGGTTACAGGAGTACGGTGCCATGCCCAGTTTAGAATTACTGATTTACAGATAAGCTGCAAAAATAGTAGAGATTTCTGTATGTTCTTGACTCACCTTCTGTTAATGTGAACATTGTAATTACTACGATGCTTTGTCAAAACTGAGACATTAACACTGCTATGATACTACTCATGAAGTTACTCAGGTATCACTCATCACATCCTTTTGATTCACTAGGATGTTAACAGAATGAATTCCAAAAGGGGAATTTGTAGTCAAACAATTACTGGCACTAAAAAAAATTCACAAACCTGAGCCTGGTGTGGTGGTGTCTTTCTGTAGTCTGAGCATTTGGGAGGCTGAGTCAGAAAAACTTCAGTTTGTGGTCAGATTGGGTTGTATAATAAGAACCTGCTAAACATAAACACACAGCATATCCTGGCTGGGCTGCAGGCCATTCCTGGTGCACATACTTGGCATGCACAAGCCCTGGGTTCAAACATCGGCAATACCAAGTCCCTTTCTTTCAAAGAAAGTATCAGATTTTTATGGCTTGTCCCCTGTTTGATTACTGCTAAGTAGAGTGTGATAAGAATGTTTTAAGTTGTCGAGCGTTGGTGGCATATGCCTTTAATCCCAGCACTCCAGAGGCAGAGGCAGGCAGATCTTGGTGAGTTCAAGGCCAACCTGGTCTACAGAGCTAGTTCCAGGCCAGGCTTCTAAGCAATACAGAGAAACTCTGTCTCAAAAACCAAAACATAAAACAAATAAAGTTTTAATTTGTATGGGCACAAATACCTACAGCATTTCTAGATTTCTACCACGGCAAAAATTTGTAGTGTTTAGTTGTAATAGTTGACTGCCCTTATAACCACTAGGGGGCTCTGCTAAAGAGTTTTTAAAATATTATCTACACAGGGAAATGTTGAGGTGTTTCATGATTTTGGACTCTTAGAAGTCTAAGCACCTCCTTATTTCACAGATGAGGGGATCGTAGCTGACAACAGAGGTGGCATGGGGCAGAACAGGGAATAAAAAAATCCTCTCGCCTCTTGCAGCATCCTCAGACTGGTCTTGAACATCATGATCCTTCTGCTTCTGACTCCAGAGTTCTAGGATTACAAGTGCTCCTATTAGTCTTAGAATATTCAAGTGATTGATTAGGTGAAGAAATGCATGAAACATACTCCTAAAGCAACACTTTCATTATTTCTAAACGTTATTTAAAACTACCTCTCAGTACCCAAACTATAGTATTTGCTTTAAACTCTACTGATCACTTTCAAATGGCCTTCCAATATTATTGTTCACTTAAAAACATTTTACTCGTTTATCTTCTTATCCATTTAATTATACTCACGGCTTATTGAAATCTACCAGTGCCAAACACCTTTGTAGGGCTAAAGCTTCTTCGTCCTCCTAAGGAGTGTCTATTTCTCCAACTTTCACTATAATCATAACAGAATTTCATATGCTTAATTCAGCCGTTGTCATAGCGTGGGTGCTGAAAAATAGGCAGCCAGGGATCTTGCTAAGAATGCAAATCCTTAGGTCCATCCACACTATGGGGATAGAACCTAGCAATCTTAACAAGCTCTCCAGGGATTCTGAAGCACATCAAGTTTTAAAAGCAATGTTAGTTCTACAGCTCAACATTCATTATCTAAACAGGCCAAAGATTAACTTCTGGTTCTTAAACCAACCACAGGCCTCTCCCTGGCAATACCTGTAGCAGGCACAACCCGTGGGATCCAACCATTACACAACTTCAATGTGTCTGTAATACCTGAGATGACCGAATAATAGCTGCGTTATCATGGTTCCAGAACAAAAGCTACGGCAGTGGATTTCCCGGGGGGGTTTACCAACGGACGCTGGGCAGGACCGAGTTCCTGCATAGCTTTTTCCTCGGTTGGACACAGGGAGGCACCTCAAGCGGGCTCTGGGTCTGGCAGAGTTAGAGCCGGGCTCAGGCCGGGTGGGGCCGGGGGATCCCGCCAGGTGGGACTCCCACCTCGGGTCGGAGCCTCCCGGGATAAGGGGCGAAGGGGCAGGGGAGGACCGGCCAGGCCCAGACCCCGCTAACCGGCGCGGAAGCCGCACCCTCCTCACCCCAGACGCCGGCAGGGCGGAGCCACGCGGCGGCCGAAGCCCCGGCTGAGACGCGCGGCGCGGCGCGGCGCGGGCTCGCTGCTGAGACGTATGGGGCTACCACAGGAGCGGCTGCGCCGCCCGCCTGGGTCAGCGTGGTGCGCATGCGCGGACCCGGCGCCATTTTGGTGGCCGGGCGCGGAGGTGATTCCACACTGAGGGGGAACGCGGCGGCAGGGGTGGCAGTGGCAGCGTTCGTGTGCTCGGGTCTGAATCACTGAGGGAGGAGGCGGTGGAGGAAGAGGTGGCGGCGGTGGCGGTGGTCGTAGCGGTGGCGGAGGAGGCGGGTACGAATCAGCTGCGGGCAGAGACATGGCCAACATCGCGGTGCAGCGAATCAAGCGGGAGTTCAAGGAGGTGCTGAAGAGCGAGGAGGTCAGAAATGATCTACCGGACACCCCCATCTCAGCCCGGGGCGGGAGGGCCCTTCCTTCCGCGACCCCGGCGCCCCGGCCGGCCTCGCTGCGGCCGCCTCTCCGCCGATGGGGAAGCGGCGCTCTCCCCTCCTCCTCCTGCCGCCTTTCCCTCCCCTCCCCGGGCCCTGGGATAGACGGTCTCGCGGGCGGGCGGCCGGCCGGCCTGGGGAGGGACAGGGTTTGGGGGACAGACGCAGAAGCACTTGTCGGGGACACGTGCGCTCTGGAGAGAGCCCCGAGGCGGCGGCAACATCTGGATGTGTGGTTCTGGGGTGGGGAAGGAACAGGCCGAGAAAACCCGGGAAGTGGGTTGGGGGAAGGGGAAAGATAGTAACTAGATCCCCGGCAGCAGCGCACCTCACAGGCCCACACTTTTAGGGGGTGCTCTGGGTATTGCTTGCCAGGCCTTTGCTGTCTTGTCTTTGAGGAAGGAGCCTGCAGAGTCCTTAGGTATGGACGAAAGGAAGACATTCAGTTACTCACTTATAGTAGTGTTGGAGCACCCTTGGAGACATAATGGTCACTATCGTATTTGGAAGGGGTGTTGAAGCAATCTTCACTACATATAGGAAATGAATTCCAAATTAGATAATGATCTCTTTTCCACATACTCCATCAGTAACTAGGCCTCATTGACATTTAGCTATTTGTCTGGTGAAAGGCAAGTTGTTATTAAATGATTTGAACTAGGAAAAATAATGAAGTGGATGAATAGCTTATTTCAAAATACTGTTTACTAATATCAGAGTCTCTCTTAGGGCAATGCCTCTGTGACTAGTGTACTGTGAAACTTCATTATGATGTCCCTTATAGGTAACTTAAGTCTTACTTTTGAAAAGAGGCCTATTAAAAACAAGAGATTTCATCAGATACAACATTGTTGTAGCTCATTACTGAGTTAGGTTTGTTCTAACACAAAATATATCACAAAATAGCATATTAAAAAAATAAGACTAGCTACCAATGAATCCTTCAAAATTTAAATATGTTAATATTGGCCATACTTACTTATGTGAAATATTGAAAGTAATTTAATAATTTGACTCAGCTGTTCAAGTAATAGTATAATTTTTCAGACCCGAATGAACAAAAATCTCAGATTTTCCATGATTGAATTTAGCAAGGAAATTCTGACAATAACTATTTCCTTTGAAGTTCACATTTCACTGTCCAGTAAGCAGTGCTATATGTTCTTATATGCATGGTATTTTGATAATGCCAATAACAATTTTAAAATAAGGCATTTTAAGTATATGAGTAATTGTTTACAAATCCCTTAGCACTCCAGCATTATTTGTGCCAAGTCTGCAGATAATTATCCATCTTTTGTAGAAAGTTACTTAAAAATGAAGTGACAATTAGCAGGTGAAGTGAACAGACTAAGAAATAAGTAGTGATTTATCTTACATAGCATGAACTCTGACCTCTGTATTCATTTGCCAAAACTCTGAATGGAAGGATGACTTTGTATTTTTGTGGAACAGTGTAGAAACAGTGTGAATGTTTGTATTCACACACATTTTAACAGTGATTTTAACTTTTTCATTAATAAGCAAATGTACTTTGGGATTGTAGACATATTCTTAGTGAAAGATGAGAGCTAATTTTGTTGTCAGCAGCCTAAAACATTTTTTTCTACAATAAGGTTATACAAATCTTTATACTCATAATGCTTTCTTTATTAAAAGTGTCAAGTTACTGCCCTGAAAATCCATATATCGTCTGCTTTATGTGATATGTCTTTCTATTTAAGTGATGGGCTGAGGATATTCCTTGGGTAAAGGAGGCTTGCTGCCAAGCCTGATGACCTGAGGACTCACATGGTAGAAGGTTGTCCTTTGACCTCTATACCCACACATGCAAATAAAAGTTCATTCTCATGTATGAGATTAAAAAATTGTCAGTGTCCCTGAGGAAAACAAGAAATGCAAACACAAGTTGTTTAGGAACAGTGTCTTTATAAACCTAGCAGGGACTTAATCCAGGAAAGTAAATTGCAAAGGATACTAGGAAAAGATAAGATAAAATTTAATATTGTAAGCTGGGCATGGTAGCACAAGCCATTAATCCCAGCACTGGGAAGCAGAAGCAGGCGGATCTCTGTGAGTTAGAGGCCACTCTGGTCTATAGAGTGAGTTCCAGGACAGCCATGGCTGTTACACAGAGAAACCTGTCTCAAAAAAACAAAAACATTTAGTAATATAAAAAAGCACAACAGATAATTTCATCCTCGATCAATATTTTATTTTATGTATGTTCAGTTCCATAGGTAGGCTGTTGGTTAGTTTTCACCTTAATGAAGGACCCATAGTGCAATCTATATATTTTCTTTATAAATGTAATCTTTTGAATAGCTGATCAAGTAATTATTTCAGCATGTTCATGTAAATCTCCAATGTACCAGGTTTAATTCATGTGCTGGTGTTTTAAGAATTTTGGTGGATCTAATGACTTATTTATGGCTTGCTTTTTTTTTTTTTTTTTTAAGTACCTTTGTAAAGATAACTCTTGACAGAGCATGCCTTTAATCCCAGCACTGGGTGGTGGTAGGGCAATAGCAGGCGAATTCTGAGTTCTATCCAGTATGGCCAGGGATACTTAGAGAGGTTGTGTCTCAGAAAGTGCAAAGATAGCTACATTTCATTGAATCTGATCATAGGAATTGGCTATAAATGGTCATTTGCTGAGTGTATTAGATAAAATAGAAGCACTTAACATAAATGTGAAAGACATAGCCAGGTACTATGGAGAGGCACTCACATTGTGTCAAAGGGGAAGATGTGTATTTTATTTGCCAGTACAGTACAGTGAAAGGATTTATGAAAAATTGGTAAAACTGATTATTTGTGGGGGAAGTTGCATGACTGGGCGTACTATGAATTTTGAGTCATGTGAATAGTACTATTTTCATAAAGTATTATTTGGAGATGGGCCTTTTATCTGTTAGATACTCCAGAATATGACTGAATGTTAAGTACTGGTTCAGAGTTGGTCAGAATAGAAAATTTACCTAAAATACATTATAGTTTATGTCAAGTCAGGTGACTTACTAATAATGAGGGTCAACAGATTAAGCCATGCTTTAGTGTATTCATAGGTTGTGTTACTGCTACCAGTTATTACTGCTGCCATTTACAGAATGCCTTTTCTGTTGTTTATATGTTACTGTTAATTCATAGCAACAGGTCTTTGACTTAGATCTCTTGTTTTTTTTAGATGAGAAAATTGAGGTTCAAAGAAGTTAAATTATTGTCTGCAAACATGACTTTAGAATTAGGATTTGCTTATGTTAATATGCACTAACACTCATGGCATAGTAAGGATAGGCATACTTTTAATTATCAAGATTGGGCCTATATTTTTATTGTAATGCTTTTTATTGTTAAAGCATTTAAGCACTAGTTAATGTTAGTATAAAATTAATTGGTACCTATAAGTGAAGGTTTACTTGAATTTCAATATAAGATATTTTTAAATTTGAAGTTCAGTGATACAAAGTGCCCTTAAATCAGTGTATAGCATCTGATTTATATCTGGTTTAAATTTATGCTCATGATACCTGTTGATTTTATTTTATTTTTTTTTATAATTCTTAGTTATAGTTTGTTGATATTTTCTAGTATTCTCAAAGTGAATGTTTAAATCTGTGGTATAAGCAAGTTTGTTTCATGAAGTCTTTGAAGTTTTTCGTTAGTATTTAGTCTTTTATAATTTAAAATTTTATTATATTTACTATAGTTGATCTGGCTTGGCCTAGATTATCTTATATGAAAGTAACTTGCAAATTTCTAAAAGAATGTGTTTTGATTTCTGTAGGACACAGTTTCTTTTTCTATTCCCTTCCTTTCCCTTATCCCTTTCCTTTTTCCTTTTCCTTTCTTTCAAGATAGGAACTCCTCTCTGCAGTCCTTAGCTGTTCTGGAACTCATTAGACTAGGCTGGCCTCAACTCACAGAGCTCAACCTGCCTCTGCCTCCTGGGATGAAAGGTATGTGCCACCATGAGTCCCTAGGGATTTAATGAAATTTTTTTGGAGTGGCCTTTTTTTTTGGAGTGGCTCTCCTTTACGTCATAAGGTGTTTATGAGTATTTCCATTGGGTGCCCTTACTGTTACTAAACCTACTACTCTTGTTGGTAGTATCAAGTTTGACTGCCAATTGGTAAGAACTACTATTGTAGACAGAACTCCTTTGAAGAACCCATAAGATTGTCACTATATAAGATGTATAGTGTTTACCCAAAGGGTGGTTGAATCTTTTGTCTTTAGAACTTTTAAGTTTATTTTCCCCTTTAATTCTTTCCCCCTTCCTTGTGTGTGTGTGTGTGTGTGTGTGTGTGTGTGTGTGTGTGTGTGTGCGCGCGCATTGTAGGTACATGCTCTACCATTAGGCCATATTCCACCTTCTCTCCGTGTTGACTTAAAAAGGTAAAGTTACCTACAAAAAACGTAATTAACTAGAATTTGGAAAAAATTTTTAACAGATTTTCAGTGCTTATGACCAAATGCAAGGCTTTATGTATTGTAGGGTAAGTGCTCTGCCGTTGAGTACATATGCTTGAAGTCCTATCAATTTCTTTTTTCTTTTTTTGGCTTTTCGAGACAAGGTTTCTCTGTGTAGCTTTGGAGCCTGTCCTAGCATTCACTCTGTAGACTAGGCTGGTCTAACAGTTTTTAAGAGTAGATTTTTATTTTTCAATTTTTCAAGACTGTGTAGCCTTGGCTGTCCTGGAACTCAGATCTGCCTGCTTCTGCCTCCTGGGCCTAAGACCTGTGCCACCACTGCTTAGCAAGAGTAGAATTTTCCTTCAGTTACATAAACTACAGTTTTGTATGGATTATTTAGTGTGCTTTATGAGATTTTCGGAGTGGACTGAATACAGCAGTCTTATATACTGGTTTAAAAAACAAAAGTCTGTACAAGTGATACTGTTGGATTGTTTTACTTTACTCTCTCCCT